CTGGGGAAGAGACGAAGAAGATTGGGAGATTAATTTACCACGGGTGTCTGATCTTACGTGGGTGGTTAGTACCCAGGAGCAGAGCCAGTGGTGGAAGGCATGAAGTGAGTCATTAGAGATCAGGGTAGAGGAGTGATAAAAAGAGAGAAGTTGAGAATAGCGGAATAATAGTTGGATATACTAGAGATCAAAGAGAAATAACGAGTGACGATGGCTTCATAACGTATTTCATTATTGGGGTAACGGCCACAGGAGCAACATCAACGGAAGTAGCACATGGAGTAGCAGCCATTGAAACAGCGAGAGCAGTAACGACAACACTGGAAGAAGCAGTAACGAGAGAAGCAGAAACAGCCACGGCAGCAGCAGCATCACACTAAACAGTATCACGAGATGAGGAAAATCATGAGGGACTCGAACCTGAGGCAGAGTGGAGGGGGGGTGAACCTGCAGATGTGAACACGGGGACACGCGTGCACATGGGATGCGCCCGTGTGTACACAAGAGGCGCGTGTACACAAACGTGTGAGTGTAGGGTGTGTGTTCCCACGGCTGAGTGTACTACACCCCCCCCAACGCCCCCTGGGCAATCAATTGTGTCAACACTCCCTTCCACAGCCTCCATCTCTGCCTTCCTTCCTTCCTTCAGTGCCTCCTCAGTGTCTTCCTTCAGTGCCTCCTCAGTGTCTTCCTTCAGTGCCTCCTCAGTGTCTTCCTTCAGTGCCTCCTCAGTGTCTTCCTTCAGTGCCTCCTCAGTGTCTTCCTTCAGTGCCTCCTCAGTGTCTTCCTTCAGTGCCTCCTCAGTGTCTTCCTTCAGTGCCTCCCAGTGTCTTCCTTCAGTGCTCCTCAGTGTCTCCTTCAGTGCCTCCTCAGTGTCTTCCTTCAGTGCCTCCTCAATGTCTTCCTTCAGTGCCTCCTCAATGTCTTCCTTCAGTGCCTCCTCAATGTCTTCCTTCAGTGCCTCCTCAGTGTCTTCCTTCAGTGCCTCCTCAATGTCTTCCTTCAGTGCCTCCTCAGTGTCTTCCTTCAGTGTCTTCCTTCAGTGCCTCCTCAATGTCTTCCTTCAGTGCCTCCTCAGTGTCTTCCTACACTGCCCTTGATTGCTGTACAATCACACTAACACTGCTTCCACTGTTCTTCTCTATCTCTACCTCGGTATTGTGTATAAACATTATCTCTCAGTCCACAGCAGGATTCGAAGCTGCACACTCTGTATCAGAGTACACAGTACTTTGATAAAGAGTGTGCAGGTTCGAATCCTGCTGTGAACCGAGAGATAATGTTTGTTAAATGTTCGCCCTTTGCGAAATGTATTGATTAATATATATTATATATATATAATATATATATATATATATATATATATATATATATATATATATATATATTATATATATATAAGGCAAAGGGGACAAAAGAGAGTGCAAAAATTATAGGAGGATAAGTCTGTTGAGTTACCTGGTAAAGTGTATGGTAGAGTTATTATTGAAAGAATTAAAAGTAAGACTGAGAATAGGATAGCAGATGAACAAGGAGGCTTTAGGAAAGGTAGGGGGTGTGTGGACCAGGTGTTTACAGTGAAACATATAAGTGAACAGTATTTAGATAAGGCTAAAGAGGTCTTTGTGGCATTTATGGATTTGGAAAAGGCGTATGACAGGGTGGATAGGGGGGCAATGTGGCAGAAGTTGCAGGTGTATGGTGTAGGAGGTAGGTTACTGAAAGCAGTGAAAGTTTTTACGAGGATAGTGAGGCTCAAGTTAGAGTACATAGGAAAGAGGGAAATTATTTCCAGTAAAAGTAGGCCTTAGACAGGATGTGTGATGTCACCGTGGTTGTTTAATATATTTATAGATGGGGTTGTAAGAGAAGTAAATGCGAGGGTCTTGACAAGAGGCGTGGAGTTAAAAGATAAGGAATCAGTAGTAGCGGTAGTCAGAATACTACAAGAGTCACGTCCTGGGTCCAGGGACTCGGACGCAAAGTATTGATAGCTAAACAAGTTAGAGTGGTAATGAACTATTTATATGTATAAATAAATCGAATCCGCTTAAAAAATCGTAATACCGCGAAAGATAGTGTTGGGTTCCCTGCAGTGTTGGGTTCCTTGTAGTGTTGGGTTCCTTGTAGTGTTGGGTTCCCTGCAGTGTTGGGTTCTGTAGTGTTGGGTTCCTTGTAGTGTTGGGTTCCTTGTAGTGTTGGGTTCCTTGTAGTGTTGGGTTCCTTGTAGTGTTGGGTTCCTTGTAGTGTTGGGTTCCTTGTAGTGTTGGGTTCCTTGTAGTGTTGGGTTCCCTGCAGTGTTGGGTTCCTTGTAGTGTTGGGTTCCTTGTAGTGTTGGGTTCCTTGTAGTGTTGGGTTCCTTAGTGTTTGGGTTCCTTGTAGTGTTGGGTTCCCTGCAGTGTTGGGTTCCCTGCAGTGTTGGGTTCCTTGTAGTGTTGGGTTCCTGTGTAGTGTCTGGGTTCCTGTAGTGTTGGGTTCCTTGTAGTGTTGGGTTCCTTGTAGTGTTGGGTTCCTTGCAGTGTTGGGTTCCCTGCAGTGTTGGGTTCCCTGCAGTGTTGGGTTCCTTGTAGTGTTGGGTTCCTTGTAGTGTTGGGTTCCTTGCAGTGTTGGGTTCCTTGCAGTGTTGGGTTCCCTGTAGTGTTGGGTTCCCTGTAGTGTTGGGTTCCCTGCAGTGTTGTTCCTGAGTGTTGGGTTCCCTGCAGTGTTGGGTTCCTTGTAGTGTTGGGTTCCTTGCAGTGTTGGGTTCCCTGCAGTGTTGGGTTCCTTGTAGTGTTGGGTTCCTTGTAGTGTTGGGTTCCCTGCAGTGTTGGGTTCCCTGCAGTGTTGGGTTCCTTGCAGTGTTGGGTTCCCTGCAGTGTTGGGTTCCTGCAGTGTTGGGTTCCTTGTAGTGTTGGGTTCCTTGCAGTGTTGGGTTCCCTGCAGTGTTGGGTTCCCTGCAGTGTTGGGTTCCTTGCAGTGTTGGGTTCCTTGCAGTGTTGGGTTCCCTGCAGTGTTGGGTTCCCTGCAGTGTTGGGTTCCCTGCAGTGTTGGGTTCCCTGCAGTGTTGGGTTCCCTGCAGTGTTGGGTTCCCTGCAGTGTTGGGTTCCCTGCAGTGTTGGGTTCCCTGCAGTGTTGGGTTCCCTGCAGTGTTGGGTTCCTTGTAGTGTTGGGTTCCTTGTAGTGTTGGGTTCCCTGCAGTGTTGGGTTCCTTGCAGTGTTGGGTTCCTTGTAGTGTTGGGTTCCTTGCAGTGTTGGGTTCCTTGTAGTGTTGGGTTCCTTGCAGTGTTGTGTTCCTTGTAGTGTTGGGTTCCCTGCAGTGTTGGGTTCCTTGTAGTGTTGGGTTCCTTGCAGTGTTGGGTTCCTTGTAGTGTTGGGTTCCCTGCAGTGTTGGGTTCCTTGCAGTGTTGGGTTCCTTGCAGTGTTGGGTTCCCTGTGGTCTAGTGTTGGGTTCCCTGCAGTGTTGGGTTCCCTGCAGTGTTGGGTTCCTTGTAGTGTTGGGTTCCCTGCAGTGTTGGGTTCCTGCAGTGTTGGAGTTCCTCACTGCAAGTTTGGTTTCCTTGCAGTGTCCTGGGTTCCTGCAGTGTTGAGTTCCCTGTAGTGTTGGTTCCTTGTGAGTATTGAGTTCCTTGCAGTGTTGGGTTCCTAGCAGTGTTGGGTTCCTGTATGAGTTGGGTTCCTTGTAGTGTTGGGTTCCTTGCTAGTGTTGGGTTCCTGCAGTGTTGGTGTTCCTTGAGTGTATGGGTTCCCTGCAGTGTTGAGTTCCTGCAGTGTTGGGTTCCTTGTAGTATTGAGGTTCCTTGCAGTGTTGGGTTCCTGCAGTGTTGGTTCCTGCATGTGTGGTCCTAGTGTTGGGTTACCTGTAGTGTTGGGTTCCTGCAGTGTTGGGTTCCCTGTAGTGTTGGGTTCCTTTGCAGTGTTGGTTCCTTGCAGTTTAGGTTCTGCAGGTTGGGTTCCTCAGTGTGGTTCCTGCAGTGTTGGGTTCCCTGCATGTTGGGTTCCATGCAGTGTTGGGTTCCTGAGTGTTGGGTTCCCTGCAGTGGTGGTTCCTGAGTGTTGGGTTCCCTGTCAGTGTTGGGTTCCTGCAGTGTTGAGTTCCTGCAGTGTGGCGTTCCTGCGTGTTGAGTTCGGAGCTGTGGTTCCCTTGCATTTGGGTTCCAGCAGTGGTTGGTCCTGAGTGTTGGGTTCCGCAGGTTGGTTCCTCAGCTGGTCCTTTAGATGTTGGTTCCTGATGTTGGGTTCCTTGTAGTTTGGTTCATGCAGTAGTGACGTCTCTGAGTGTTGTTCCATGTTGGGTTCCAGCTGCTTTTTGAGTGTTGGGTTCCTGTAAGTTTGGTTTACATGTTGTCCTACAGTTTTTAAGTTCCAGGCATTGATCGTTTGTTACCATACAGTTTAGGGTTCTGAGTGTTGGTTTTGTCAAGGAGGCTGAGTGTGGATCCTGAGGGAAAGCGTTGTCACCGAATTGCCTCTCCAGGTAGGTTACTAAACTTGGGCCATACTTGATGGACTGCTATTTTACCTATACAGACGGAAGCAAACTTCAGACGAGTTTATACTCGGCTGGACAATTAATGACATTATCAGAATGTTATAACAGTTAGTAATGATTAGTTTGGCTAGACATTCTTCACAATACTGACAAACACTCAGGTAGAGACTTCCGTTGTGTATTGATCACGCTGATAACAATACCACATTTACGATAGAACTTTGAAATTTCAAGCTGGTTGCTGAGGCCTGTCTGCTTATCTGGTAAACGTTTACAATGTGCAGCTACTCTATTATATATAACAGATATAGAGAGGGAACCAGTCTAGTTATGCTTCCCTCTAGTGTTCCATCACGGGGCCAAGAGATGTCACTCGACCCCTGCAACCACAACTAGGTGAGTACATGATGGGCCGCCGTCATAGTCGATTCGAGCCGCCGAGACTCAGTACGGCGATCATACATTCGAATCGTAAATGGACTGGAAGAACCAATTGCAAATCTTGTGGGCAAGACAGCCAAGGTTGCAACAC